ATCGGAGGTGTCTGTGGCTGCAGACCATCAAAAGGGTTGATGAAAACGACTGAAAACACGATCCGAAATGCTCGAGTTTGTAGCGCCCATTTTATATCAGGTAAGGTAATTATGTACTAAGATTACACCAGAAAGCTGGTTAACGCGTGTTCTATTAAATAAAGTAAGTTGTGTTTGCCGGTTTGCTTTTAAGCAGTCTATTTATTTACAGGTGAGGTTTTCTGGTTTTCCCATCCTAACACAAAGCTCAACTTTGAATAAAATTGCTGCTGCATGACCCAAGTCTGGAACATCAAAATGACAGAATTAAACAAATGTATACGCTTTATTTCATGCTTCAAATTAACATTTCATTCTAATTCATCTGTATTTTCCCACTGCATATTAGTATAAACTGTATTTCTCTAAAATTAACACGATTGTACTCTGAGCACGCTAAAAAAGAAACCTATGCTGTACTCACCCTGCCATGCAGGTACAGTTGGCTGTGAAGACATAGTTCTCTGGTTTGTTTACTATGACCCAAGCCTCGTACATAGCAGTCTTGTGTCCTTGTCTTTGGCTAGGAAGGACTTCTGCCTTCAAGACGCAAAACTCAAGAGTCTATGTCGTGATATTTTACTTTCTGTACGTGGCCACAGACAACATAGTTGTATGCATCTAACGATTTGTATGCCCGTAGCTTCTCACGTGTGTACTTACTGGGCCTCTCCACTAAAAACGTATATATATCGGGCCACTGGAAATCTGGCCACGCACCTACATCTTCCACCCATTCCGTAATGCCACAGGGATCCGGGAGTCTGTTGCCATTCGTTAAAGTGAGTTTAATAATATAACATTCAAGATTTGCCGGTGATAACCCCGCAGCGTAGCTTGATAAAGCCTGAAACAACGCTGTTCTCTGTTGCCAAGCTGCGCGCGCATTCTCGCTGACGTCATATTGTTTACAAACAGTAAAAGGGTCTATAAATATAGAATATCAACCTGCTTGGTCTTAGGATGTTTAATCAGAAGATTCTAGGATTATTTATTTATTCAGGGTTTGTAAACACTTCGTTTTGATTCAAGGAAAGAGTCAGGTTTTTCCATTCCATTCCATTTATTTGATAAAGCAGCATGTGAGCTGACCAAAGTGCTGTACAGGGGTAAAAAGATATAAGGTTAAACGAATAATATAAAAGAATAAAACAGCTAGAGCATGGCACAAAGAACCAACCAAGAGAAGTCAATAAAATCGGTAAAATAATAGTGTAAATTATATGTATTCCTTATATAGGAAACATTATTTCTGATTGGCTTAATGAACTGACCTGAATTGGAATTTTTATTATGTGAAGTGCCTTGAGACGACGCTTGTCGTGATTTGGCGCTATATAAATAAACTTGAATTGAATTGAATTGAATTAAATAAACCATCGATAGAATAACTAGGCAGTAAAAGCAAGCGAATAAAAGTAAGTCTTTAAGTGAGACTTAAAAACCCCAAAGGAGGAGGAGAGTCTGATATTCAGCGGGAGATCATTCCAGAGTTTCGGAGAGCAGACAGAAAAAGCTCGTTCACCACGGGTTTTGCAGCGTAGACGGGGAATCTGTAGTAGGTGTAGGTCACCTGAACGGAGAGTCCTGCCCGGCACATAAGGAGTGAGTAACTCGGATATGTAAGGTGGTGCTAAGCCAGGTTTATACAAGTAAGAATTTATTTTCCAAACAATTAAAACATGACAAGTTAACTAATATTTACTGTGATGGGTGGATCTAGATGGAGGAGATGTGGTGTATGGTGCCTATGTGTGAATGTGATGTTGTCAGAGCTTTCGTTTCTAGAAGAACTGAGTTCTGGGTGTAAAATGGAAAGAATTTGGTTTGCGTTAAGCTACGAAGTTGATTATTATCAAAAAGCATCAGACGCTATCTGTGTGTCTACTTCACCCGTTTGGATCTGAGATGTCAAGGAGCCGATGGTCCTAATGCACGTGGTTCGTAGAAAAACCCTCGATGCGACCAAGTCAGTCCTGAGTTATCCGGGTCACACGATAGATGAAATTGGTTGCGTCTTTCTGCGTAGCTGAAGGAGCAAGTTGCTTTGTTCTGAAGGAACAGGTTTGTCTGTGTCAGATGTGCAGCAACCTTGACGGCGTGTCAAAGATTGCTCTGGGTTAAAGAGACTTCACTACGCACGGCCGTTTCCGTAGCTTCCTCTACAACTAACTCACGGTGACGTGAGCTCTGTTTTTAAAGATCGTCATATTTTGATTATCTAACAAATCAGCATTGGACGTGTAAAGGAGGTTTTTACCAACAAACCTCAGAAAACACCTTCTTTCTGATACCGGATGCTCTGATCTGGGGTAAAGAAATATCTATGTGTCATGACGATTCACTTAACTTTAATTTACCTCTAATGAACCTTGTGTGAGTGTAGATGATGATGGCCTTGTCATATCAAACATTACTGATTCATATATCAATCTTTCAATGTAATAATAACATAACATTCATTTCAAAGATGAATGAAAACGTTTCATTTAACATTCATATAACATTTGTTATATAGTTGTTATACCTCAAGTGGAGGAGTTTAAGTATCTCGGGGTCTTGTTCACGAGTGAGGGTAGGAGGGATCGGGAGATCGACAGGTGGATTGGTTCGGCGTCTGCAGTGATGCGGACGCTGAGCCGATCTGTCGTGGTGAAGAGGGAGCTGAGCCAGAAAGCCAGGCTCTCGATTTACCGGTCGATCTACGTCCCAATCCTCACCTATGGTCATGAGCTTTGGGTAATGACCGAAAGAACGAGATCGCGGATACAAGCGGCCGAAATGAGTTTCCTCCGTAGGGTGGCCGGGCTCAGCCTTAGAGATAGGGTGAGGAGCTCGGACATTCGGGAGGGACTCGGAGTAGAACCGCTGCTCCTCCGGATTGAAAGGAGCCAGTTGAGGTGGTTTGGGCATCTGGTCAGGATGCCTCCTGGACGCCTCCCTGGGGAGGTGTTTCGGGCATGTCCTGCCGGCAGGAGGCCCCCGGGTCGACCCAGGACACGTTGGAGAGGTTACATCTCCAATCTGGTCCGGGAACGCCTTGGGGTCCTGCCGGAGGAGCTGGTGGAGGTGGCCGGGGAGAGGACGGTCTGAAGCTCCCTGGTTGGGCTGCTGCCCCCGTGACCCGGACCCGGATAAGCGGAGGAAGACGACCACGACGATAACATTTGTTCATCAACCAAATTATTATTTAATGATTAATTAACTTATAAGTTTTAAATGTTCACATTATATTTAAGAGTTCATTCTTTGATTAAGCAACTCATCCGAGCGGAGAGTGTTCACTTTATTCAGAGGCATGAAGAGTCCTGTAGAACGATAAGGGAAGCTTGAGGCCTTGAGGAGGGAACGTGATGTTGACGATACGTTATCATGTGTTCGGAGCTGCAGAGAGGCTCTGAACTCCATCTGATGTGATGCAGAATCCTTCTGGCTTCAGGAAGATAGAGTGTAAAATCCACTATAAGGGCTAGAATTAAGTCTGCAAATGACCAGTGGCATCTAGGTCAATGTGTATGTGGAAATTGACCATTTCTGGACATTACACCCTTAGATGGACATCTAATGATTCCTTTGTGTCCCGCTCTGAACTTGAGACAGTTCTCCACACCTTCATCTCCTCACGCTTAGACTACTGTAACTCTCTTTTCACGTGTCTGAGCAGAACCTCCCTGAACCGTCTACAGGTGGTTCAGAACGCCTGTGCTCGGCTTCTGACCAAGTCCTCCAAACACACCCACATCACCCCGCTTCTCCTCCAGCTTCACTGGCTGCCAGTCAACTTCAGGGTTCATTTCAAGATCCTGGTTCTGGTCTATAGGGCCTTACATGGACAAGCACCATCTTACATTGGTGATCTTCTTAGTCCCTACACCCCCAGCAGGTCCCTGAGGTCCAGTGATCAAAGCCTGCTGGTTGTGCAGCACCAGGCTAAAGACCAAAGGTGACAGATAATTTGCTGCTGTGGCCCCCAGACTCTGGACCTCTCTCCCCCTGAGCCTGAGATCAGTGGACTCAGTGGTCTCCTTTAAAAAGCAGCTGAAGACTCACTTGTTCAAGCTGGCTTTTGTATGACCTTCTTCACCTCTCTCTCTTTATTCTGCTCTCCCCTCCTTTTCCACCTTCCTCAGGATCCACTGGTTTCCCTCTTTCCTGTTCACTCTCTCTCTTTCTTAACATTTTTTATCACAATCGTCTATTTTTGCTCATTTAAAATATATTTTAACCATTTTCTAAATTATTTTTTATATGTTTACATGTTTTGTTTTTGTGAAGCGCCTCGTGATTTTTATCTTGAGAGGCGCTATAGAAATGATACTTTCTTCTTCTTCTTTTTTCTTGGAATCCCATTAAAATCCGTCGTAGATGAGATCATTAGACCACTAACAAACAAACATGCAGTGAAGAGTTTCTTCTACCTGAAGAACAGCTTGAGAGATTCCTCATCTGTCGTCAGCTAACTGAGTATTTGATTTTCTTGCATACGAACAGGCTTGTTGTCATTAAAGTACTCATTTAACTTGGGACTGTTTTTATCTGCCGTCTTGGCTAGGAGTCCATTGCAAAAGAGACGTTAATCTTACTTCATGTTTTTCCTAGTAAAATAAAGGTTAAAGGAAAACTTAATGGTGGCCATGGTCTTCTTTCATCATGCAGACGTGAACAATGACTGACGTCAGAGAGCGGCTTGCGCTCAGAGCTTAATGAGGCTTTGGCTCTTCTTACTGATAAAATCGATGCTTTAAACAAACATGAGGGTAATTACTACCTCCAAATGAAAGTCCTCTCATGAATTCATTGACTGTGTGTGTTTTTAGATTTATGATGCAGGATGGTCATCACGGTGACCCTGCTTTAGTGGGATATCTGTGTGTCCTTTATAAAGGGCCTTTCTAAAGCATGTCTTACATCACTGGCTTGTGTTTGACTGGAGATAGTTAACACGTTTCCCTTTTTCACAGCAACATGTTTCCTGCCAACTTGGTCCAAGCTACATTTCAGCAGGTAAGATAAACACTGAGGGTTAAATCAGCAAGTAAACACGAGAAACTTAGAAAAAAAGAGGTTTTTATACAACTTTACAGAAAATGTAATATTACATTTTGAGTAATATTTTTTTTCCTCATTTATGCCAAAGAGCAGCTAATTTGTTCCCAAGTTGCTAGCAGACAGTTTGCTAACACCATTGTAGCATCCCTAATAGACAACAATAAATAAAATCAAATTGAAAATGTTTTAAGGGATTCTTTGCAACTTTTTCCTATTTTAAGATCATTTTCTTGGGCTAGTATGTGCTAAAATAACTCTTTACAGGGTGAATGAAAGGCCACCTAGCCCCTCTGTCGCCCCTTTTCCACTTGCAGCTTCAGACTGTTCGGGATTTTATCAGATTTTAATTTTACTTCCACAAAAGGCTAGTTTTAGATTAGATATTACAGAAAACGGGGAAGGCTTGTCCCTCGTTAATTACAGGTGAGGCAGGATAGCTCGCTGGCTGCTTCCAGGCAGGAAACTTTAAGTGCACTGTGAGCTCGCGAGCGACGTGTTGGAGACTTCTGGTCCAAACTTATATAGACGTGAACATCTTAGGTGTGTTCTTGCTGTGCGTTATTTCTAATTCCATGTTGTCATTCTTTTTTAAAACACAGAAACGGTTTACCGTTTCGGCGACGGCTGCCAGCTTCTTCAGGCTGACGCTGATCAGCGTCAGCCTGAAGAAGCTGGCAGCCGTCGCCGAAACTGTGGCGTCAATAACAGGTAACAAAACCGTTGTTTTAAAAAAGAACGACAACATGGAATTATCTAGATGTGGGCTAAAGTAGCTGAGATAATTCACGTGCCACAAAATACATGGAAAAATCTTCTTACTGGGATTTTCCTCTATTAACCTAATGATACATTGAACAAACAACACTTCCACGACAAGGACAAGGTTTTATAGAAGGGGATCTTCATACCTAACACAACATGCCACCCAGCTCCTGGTGCAATCTACCGTCATCTCCCGCCTCGACTACTGCAACGCCCTTCTAACTGGTCTTCCAGGCTGTACTGTGAGACCTCTTCAAATGGTCCAGAACGCAGCGGCGCGTCTGGTCTTCAATCAGCCAAAAAGAGCACACGTCACCCCTCTGTTCATTGAGCTCGACTAGCTACCGCTAGCGGCACACATCAAATTCAAATTGCTAACACTAGCATACAAAGTCCGAGACGGTACGGCTCCCATCTACCTGAATCCTCTTGCAAAGGCTTACGTCTCGGCCCGGCCGCTCCGGTCATCACAGGATCGTCGGCTAGCAGTGCCTACACCACGCTCAGGACAATCCAGACTCTTCTCATGCATCGTTCCACAAATGTGGAATGACCTACCGAGCTCTACCAGAACAGGGGCTTCCTTCTCAATTTTCAAGAAACTCCTGAAGACCCTGCTCTTCAGAGAGCATCTTCTAAACTAGCACCCTCCCTGCACCCGTCCCCCCTCTCTACTGTCCACTCCTTTGTTCCCTCCTGTCCATGACTGATGTCAAGTTGTTGTTATTGTTGTTGTTAGCCTCAAGGGCAACATGCCGATTATCACTTGTAAAGGTTGGTTTATGCTTGACGCGTCCGCGAGGTTCGCACGGCTCCGCGCGGAAAAGTTGCATCATTTTAACAACCACGCCCCTCCACCGCGTCTCCGCACGGCCCAAGATTTCCGCAATGCGCACCTCGGAAAATTTCTAACCACGCGGACGGACGCGGAAAAACATGGCGGACCGGCAAGAACTAGTATGGCAGAGGTTCGTAAATACAGACATTTGTATGATTCAGCTCTCAGAGATCACCGTGATCAACATGTTGTTAATAATTCTTGGGAGAGAAATAGCTCGCACTGTCGGAAAAGACGAGGACGCTGTTAAAAATGCTGAAATGCCATGTTGTAAACAGTAATTTCTACTTCTACTATGGTGTAGTGTTGGATGCATGCCGTAGAGCTCCATGCTGCCCCCTACAGTTTGGGAGAATATTGGCTCACCGCAGAGACGAGCCGCATGAACCATAAACGCTGCGAGTTGTGAAGCGCGTTCCATCCGCGAGCCGCATCACCGCGCGGAAAGTGAATGCGTCAAGCATAAACCAAGTTAGTCGCTTTGGACAAAAGTGTCTGCTAAATACATAAACATAAACATCTTTATTTACACTAAATTATAAATACTGTATAAATGACTTTTCTTGTGATTAAAACAAAATTTGACTCACAGTTTATAAAAATAATATGAGATAATTGGTGACCTGGATATAAACCTTCGTCAGAGCCCTTTTATTACCCTTCCTACCCAAATCTGGTCTCAGTGGGGAAATAGAATGTTTGGCAAAGCAAACACACTTTTAAGTCAGATTTTAACATTTGAATACCAATAACTTCATGATTTTGCATTCATAGTGATACATGTGAGCACTGTGCTGAGGTTATGGTTGTTTTGGTTTCTAGTATCGGACCCAGAGGGTTGCAGAACTCATTCCCAAACCAACAGTGGCTCAGCTTCTAGATGAGACCACCACCAGACGGGTCTACATCTATGGTGTCCAGGATGACAATGGCACAGACATCCAGAACTTCTCCCTGGACCTCACGCCGCCTCCTGACGTCGTTGTGAAAACGTCGCCTGGCACCAGTGAGGGCATGAACGTGCTGGGGATTGTAATCTTTTCTGCAACTATGGGTGAGTTTATGGATGCAATAGCAGGCAGAAGTCACAAATTATAGATTTAAGTCTTGGTGCACTTAGAGAAAAGGTCATTCTGAGTTCCCAGGAGAATATGTTTGTAGGCATGTGGCAAATAACTACATAGTTTAAGTGTGTAGCCTTGCAGTAAGCTTGTATTTATTCTTTTGTCCTAATCCAGGAATAATGCTGGGAAGAATGGGCCCCAATGGAAGCGCTTTGGTCAACTTCTGTCAGAGCTTGAACGAGGCGGTTCTGAAGATTGTTGCCATTGTTATTTGGTAAGAGCCAAATGTTAGACGTACGTGTCGCAGTCAGGGAAAACAGTCGTCACTTTGACCACCTCTGGCTTTTCTGATAGCACATTTCTGCATTGCTTCCGTACAAAACGTACATTTATTTCTGCCATCTGAGATCACCTCGTGGTGAGAAAGAATTTGTTGTTTTAAATTAATCTTTGAGTTGATGTTTTTCAAGATTCGTGCACAAAACTGGTTTAAATACAAAATCCCCCACTGTGAATGACTCCCAGCCACTGACACATCAGATATATGTATCTGGAAAGAGTTAGAGCCACGTTTTCTTTAGGTTCATTTGTTGTAAAAACCGCCATCTTTAATTGGATTGATGCCAAAAGCTGGTCATTGGTCGAATTGTGTGTGACAATAATGTTCTGAGAGTTTCATTAGGGACTGTAGAGGAAATGTTGTCAAACCAAACAAATATTTCGGCTAACGCTGAAGTTAGCTTCTGCTTCCAGGTCCTGACTTCTGGCTAAAGGGCAGTGAGCTTCATCTTTGATCTGACAGACGGGACTGTTCAAACCCAGACTAAAACCATTTCACATTCAAATCAGCAACTTTTCTTTATTGTATCTGTGAATGTGTGTAAAATAACCTTGTTTTGCATCAGGAACAGGTTCAGTTCAAAAGCTTAAAACACTTAGAAAAACACAAATACAATAAAAAGTCTCGTGAACTGCAATCTGTGCTTTAAAGGGGCGTTATGGAAGTGTGACAGCCAAAACACGTATAGAAAGAATAAATGTCTTCTTCATACATTCTCCTGCAATGCCCTGGTCCTGTAGAATGAGCCCTGGCATTTTTACTGTGATTGCCTGTTTTTCTGTAAAATCACAGAAAAAGAGAGATGCTCGGGTCGAGCAGGCTGCTTCATGCGCGTTCACGCTCAGGCATCGCCCGTAGCATTTGCTATCCGTAGCTTTAGCAGCAGAGAGAGAGGCAGTGCCACTTTGTCGCTGTTCCTAACGCCTAGTGACAAAGCTAGCTACATTTCTGAGGACCCTTAGCTACTTTCTGTAGAACTTTCTTCTAGATATTTCCTGCAAATTAGCAACAAAATAGCCATTTTCACTCCGAACCGTTCTTTGAACGTTGTTTCAGCTGTCATCAAGGATATAAATGTTACAGATACAAAGGATGTCACTGGTGCTTTAGCTCACCAAGTAAGACATCGGACTCTCATGCAGAAGACCTGGGTTTGATTCTGGATGTGAACATAGGTTTATTTAGAGTTTCTTTTTTACATTAATGGTATATTTTTTTTACAGTAAAATGCCCAAATTTTTATTTGAGACTCGCCGAACGGTATTGAATTCCCAGATATAAAAGATGTGGGTTCAACTTTCATTTTGGAACAATTTTTCAAGCAAGGGAAGGGAATGATCTGAGCATGCAGGAGGACTGACCCATCATAAACCTTTGTCGGCTGTGCTGAAGAGAAAGGTACAGAACCACATTATTTAATTAATTAGCTGCGTGTTCCCCTGACCTCTGTCCTCCGGGCCACACACACACACAAACACACACACACACATACACACACACACACGGGACTGTCTCAGCTGTTATTTTCGTTAAGGAGTGTGCACGTACAGCATGCGCGCCTCGTGCACGAGCCTACTATTGAAGCTGCCGTTACGCTTTTGGCCTGAGGGGGCGATCGCGAGCATAAAAATTCAAAAGTCCATAAAGCCACTTTAAGGATTCTGCTTTTAAAAATGATCCAGGTGTAAATAGGTCTTTCACTCATATTTTAATACATTTGCAGTGGTCTCTAGCAAGAATGAATGCCTTGTAAGTCGTACTCTGGGAAAATAAACGATCCGATGGGGCGGTCTGAGAATGTAGAAGTCAGCTGGAGGAGAAATTGCTTCAGATGGCAGGATTTGGATTCTCATTTCCTGATATTTGAACATCTCCCCTCTGATTGGCTAACAACCACAAATCTCTACCACTGACTCTGTTTGCTCTGCTAAATTGATTTTTTTTCCACAAATAGCAAATAATCCTGGAGAAGTTCTGTTGTGTGGTGGAGTTGCTAATGCTAACGGTTTGCTTCTACTAGCCGAGTCCATTAAAATAACAGTGTGATGTAGATCTGTCCGGCTTTTCTAATCCTAGAGCTTCACCGTCTAATTTCTATCGGAAGCTAATGCAGGAGATTGGTGTAGGAGACTATTTCATGAACAACCTGCATGAAAAACTCAGTGATCCAAGATTTCTAAGATTAATGAGTGAAAAATGGTTTCTCAGTGAAGGACCTCTTTAAATGTTCCAACTGCTGTTGCTGTCAACCTAGTGATGTTCCTGAGGAATCACCCTTTAGCCAAGCAAGGCTACAACGAGAGGCCAGGCTCTTACAGGAAGTCTGACACCTTTTTTATGACAATGGTCATTTTTCATCTAAGGTTTGACGTTTGAGGCCTCAAAATGTCCTGAACTGGACACCGTACCTTTGTTAACAGACACAGGCACAAACATTCCCACTCGTCTGCCCAGACTGCTGTGTAAACAGTCGCTTTTGAGACGGCTCCCTGAAAAATCCTGATTACTAATCCTTAAATATTAACTATACGTGATGAAAACCTCTCCTTGTTGCTGAGTAAAACATTTACAACACTGCAGATCTTATCCTCGCTGTTTAGTTCAGGTCCAAGTTTTCCGTGATTCTATAATCACAGATGAAGTTCCAACGTTGAGTAAAACAAACATGCTCATCACAGATGTTCCCGCTGGGATTGTTTGGAACTTCTGCTCATCTCCTTCCCTTCCAGGTATTTCCCTTTCGGGATTGTGTTCCTGGTGGCAGGGAAGATCCTGGAGATGGATGACCCTTCAGCCATGGGGAAGAAGCTGGGCTTCTACGCCATCACCGTGGTGATGGGCTTGGTGCTCCATGGCCTGTTCATCCTACCAGCTATGTACTTCTTCATCACGAAGAAGAGTCCCATCGTCTACATCAGAGGGATCCTGCAGGCTCTACTCATCTCCTTGGCCACCTCCTCCAGGTATGAGTTACAAACCTGGTCCAGCAGGTTTGGGTTTAATTCATCGTGATTGCATGTTTCTGATGTCTTCATGTTAAAATCACCACTGCTCTTACCCTATCTGAGTTACTGTATGGAAGTGTGGGGAAATACGCACAAGAGCAACTTGCAAACAATTCATTTAATGCAAAAATGGGCAATCAGATTCATAAATCAAGCAGGATACAAAAATCATGAACTATTTATAAAGACCGGACTACTGACATGTCCAGATATGGTCCCATTTAAAACAGCACAAATACTGTATGAGGCGAACCACAACCAACTTCCCCTGAAAATAATGAAATTGTTCCATGTAAAGGATGGAGGGTACAACCTAAGAGCCTAACAGAATTAAAACACAGGTGGTGTATCTCTGTGGCAGGTATTAACATATGGAATGATATAAAGCTGACATAAAGCTAAATAAAAACATACGCCAGTTCAAAAGAAAATTCAAAGAATAAACCTTTATTGTACATATAAATGAAGAGCAGTAAAAATGTGGAAAAGCTTAGATATTATTGATAGCTTATAGATGAGAGCCTTTGTTTTCTTTGACGGCACAGTTCAGTGTTCGACTTAGTTGTATTTCTTTTTTACTTTTCATGTTTTTTATTTGAATCAAAAGTGTAAATTAGGTAAAACTAATGAAGTGATAAGTTTTAGTTTGCATTTGATTTATTTATTTATTTTGAAACATTAAAATATGTAAAGGGGGCAGGGCCTTGAAAGTGCATACCTCAACCAGTGGCGGCTCGGCTCCAGAAATGTTTTTCTGCAGGTGCTATGAAGGAAGTGGTCATGCGTACCTATTGTTCTCTAAAACACCTTCAACACTAGCAGATACACATGCGTGCACAACACCTCAACAACACCTGAAACAATCATTAATATACATCATAAACAAATGAACAATCGCTGACTTTTCCATTAAATCATAAACACATACAGCCACACAGAAAACCATCTATAGTGTTGCAAGGTTAGCTAACGTTAGCGTTAGCATTTCCAGCGGCAAAACCCTGGACTGCTGCGGCGGTTGAGGGTTGACTCTCTTCATCCAGGTCCGTAGGTTTTTGTGGGTCTGAGATCACTTCCAAACATTCATTCATTTCTGACTGAACCCGTGGAAATGTGGGCAACAAAAACCGATCCATTTTACCGCTAGCTCTGCCTTTCACTCGTTCACAGGTGGAAAATGAGGTCAAAGGTTATCATCAATTTCCTGTTTTGATTTAAGTTTTTACTATCTATATGATAATTTACTGATTATTTTTGTTTTGTATGTTAAATATGATCACATCAACACGTTAAATCAAAATTAAATTGTAAAAAAAAAAAATCTAATATTTGCTTGGGGGTGCTATGACTAATCCAGGGGTAGCTATAGCGCCCCCTGGCGCCGCCACTGACCTCAACCTACCTCCATTTTAAACACTGTTGAGTGTCACAAGTTATTTTATTTACTTATATTTTTTAATGTTTGAAATAAATTTATAAACAAACAAACAAATCAAATCAAAGACAGTGAGAAAAATCCCCAAACAGTTGCATGCTTTAAAATACAAGGTAACGTTTTCTAGATGGAAGTTTTTTACCTGAACGACTGCAGCCAATCAGATAACACAAACTTAGCTCAACAAAGCAGCATTCAGCAGAACCCCAAGGTAACAGAGAGGTGTTTTCATTTTACTTAGTTATTTTTGAATGACAATAAATAATGTGAATATTAGAAAAATCTATGAGGGTTTTCTTGTGTAGAGCAACAAGTATCTCTGTTTACTCGTTAGTCCAAGGTCTGATAAATGTTCTCCGGTTGGTGAGGAACATTCTGCAGGTGATCAGGCAGAGCCACACTGTGCTGATGAAGGATCTGTTTTTTAAATTACTTTCTTTTCCTTTCAACACTCGCCAAACCTTGTGCCACTTTAACTTTTATAATAAAAAATGCTTGAACAAGCCTAAATCTAGGGTATTTTTAAAATAAATACAATTTAATATTTATCTAACAGACAAGTCTGTTAATCAGCATTATAAATAAATGTTGGTTTTAAAGGAGACCTCGAAAGTAAACAAACATTTTCCTTGCTGAGACCCTCAGCACTGTTTTAGCCCAAGGCCATCTCTGCCTGCTGAAACATGTAACACCACAGAAAGTTTCTCATTTGAGGAAGAAAACTGTGATTTTTTTCCCCCCTTTGTGCTGTTTGGTTTTTGTCCCACATCCACAGCGTCTCCTCTGTGATTTACTGTGGTTTCTGGCTCTTTCATGGGCTGAGATAAGCTTCTCCTACAATGAAATGTGTGATGTGGTTTTGTTGCTCTGAGGTGCGACTGTGTAAAAATAAAGATTCATCACACTAGGCTGCAACATGACAAAAGAACCAAACTGGATGAACTCAGCTGGTTCATGTGGAGTTCACTTCTCCCAGTTTAAATATCTTCAGTGTCTCTCATCCTTTCTGCAGTTTTAATCCAGGTAATCCCAAAGGTGTCTCACAGACCTAAACAGGGTTCTGGTCTGGTGCTAGTTATTTTGGAGTGAAATCCGTCAAGATTATTTTTTGATCTATAACGCACCCAATTTTAACTACTTATTTTTAAAAGGGCAGCTTACAAAAAGATTTTTCACCTTAAAAACCAGCATGTTTACCTTTAGCGGCTTCAACCTCCAGCTGCTGAAAACCCGCTTCGATGAGCTTGTGGCAGACACCCGGTTACTTTTGGGCTAGCTGTGACACCCGGGGAAGGCCGGCTACATATTTCCATCAGAAAAGTGCGTTGTCATCTCTCTTAATAACAGGCTCCAGAAAAAAGCTTTGCTCCTCCGCAGTGCCGACAGGACGTGCGTCTTTCACTGTCATCTTTTGTTGCACAAATGACCTCATCAGTGTTTTTCTTGGCTGTCCTTAAACCCTCCCACTGTCCAAATAGGTGTGACCCCGCGAGGACAGTTGACCATTGAGCAGGGTTGATGGTTTATCCCTTGGGTCCACGTGGCAGGGGTGAGGAGTGAGCACCACCTCACCCCTGCCACGTGAACCTCAAGGGATAAACCATCAATCCTGCTCAATGTCAACTTTCCTCGCGGGGTCACCCATAAAGACAGCGGGAGGGTTAAAGTTTTCTTCGAACCAGAAATACTCCCAAACTGCAGAAGTTGTGTTGTTATTAGACACCAAGTCGGTTGGTGCGCAAGCTGCAATTTTTTTCTCGACACGCCGTCTCAGCGCTGTCATGTGACGACAGCACGTTCATAAACTTTATGGAAAGTCTCTAAAATTTGGACAAAACATTTTAAACTATTCACAGTTTTTCTCGATTGCCTACACACGTTTCTTAAAATTATGCCTCATATTCGCAGAACAGTAAACACAAATCCATAACATCTCACCCAGTTTCCCAAACATCATGTCGAAACGTGACGGAGGCGACATTCCTCCGAAGGTTATTTAACCTCTCTCCACAGATGCCTCTGACACAGTACTAAGTGCATGAGACTGCCTCAAGGTCATGCATTCGCTTCTAAAACTGTTTTCCTTCCAGCTCAAGAGAAGAATAGAGAAAGGATTATTTCCTTTAATAAATCAACGAATTCTATTTTTAATTAAGCTAATCAAACAAAGTGTTAGTCAATAATATAATGTTGACCGATCTGTGAAATAACAATGTTGTGATTAATATGCTTTAATAAGTAATATGACTTTAGTCTAGTGCACTAGACATGCTGACCACACAGTAATGTAAACACATGGCACATTGTCGTTACTGATCCAATCAGAAGCTTCCTTTCTGAAGCGTGGCATAGTCTCTGTGGTGTTTATAAATCTGCCAACTTTGATTCGACCAGAATTCAAAACATCCAGATTAATAAAACCAGTCCCCACGCCATCTTAGGTCAGTTCTCGAGATCTCACTGGAGTTCACGCATGCTAAGCGGAGTGTCTGATGATGGAGGCAATGGTGACGTGACTCACATTTGGCTGGACTCGTTGCCCCGCCTCCCTTAATGAAACAAGGACAAGGTCAACTAAAGTGGCTCGAATTTCATCCAAGACTACTTGTCTCCTTGCCCTGGCTCTTCCCCTCCACCTCCTCCTCTTTCACCTCCTCTACCTCCTCCACTCTGGTGTACTATACCTCCTCCTCTTCCACATCCTCTACCTCTTCCACTCTGGTGTCCTATACCTCCTCCTATTCCACCTCCTCTACCTCCTCCACTCTGGTGTCCTATACCTCCTCCTCTTCCACCTCCTCTACCTCTTCCACTCTGGTGTCCTATACCTCCTCCTATTCCACTTCCTCCACTCTGGTGTCCTATACCTCCTCCTCTTTCACCTCCTCTACCTCTTCCACTCTGGTGTCCTATACCTCCTCCTATTCCACCTCCTCTACCTCCTCCACTCTGGTGTCCTATACCTCCTTCTCTTCCACCTCCTCTACCTCCTCCACTCTGGTGTCCTATACCTCCTCCTCTTTCACCTCCTCTACCTCCTCCACTCTGGTGTCCTATACCTCCTCCTCTTTCACCTCCTCTACCTCTCCCACTCTGGTGTCCAATACCTCCTCCTCTTTCACCTCCTCTACCTCCTCAACTCTGGTGTCCTATATCTCCTCCTATTCCACCTCCTCTACCTCCTCCACTCTGGTGTCCTATACCTCCTTCTCTTCCACCTCCTCTACCTCCTCCACTCTGGTGTCCTATACCTCCTCCTCTTTCACCTCCTCTACCTCCTCCACTCTGGTGTCCTATACCTCCTTCTCTTCCACCTCCTCTACCTCCTCCACTCTGGTGTCCTATACCTCCTCCTCTTTCACCTCCTCTACCGCCTCCACTCTGGTGTCTTATACCTCCTCCTCTTTCACCTCCTCTACCTCCTCCACTCTGGTGTCCTATACCTCCTCCTCTTCCACCTCCTCTACCGCCTCCACTCTGGTGTCCTATACCTCTTCCTCTTTCACCTCCTCTACCTCCTCCACTGTGGTGTCCTATACCTCCTCCTCTTCCGCTTCCTCTACCTCCTCCACTCTGGTGTCCTATACCTCCTCCTCTTCCACCTCCTCTACCGCCTCCACTCTGGTGTCCTATACCTCTTCCTCTTTCACCTCCTCTACCTCCTCCACTGTGGTGTCCTATACCTCCTCCTCTTCCGCTTCCTCTACCTCCTCCACTCTGGTGTCCTATACCTCCTCCTCTTTCACCTCCTCTACATTCCTCCGCTCTGGTGTCCTAGACCTCCTCCACTTCCACCTCCTCTACCTCCTTCACTCTGGTGTCCTATACCTCCCCCTCTTTCACCTCCTTTGCCTCCTCCACTCTGGTGTCCTAGACCTCCTCCACTTCCACCTCCTTTACCTCCTCCACTCTGGTGTCCTAGACCTCCTCCACATCCACCTCCTCTACCTCCTTCACTCTGGTGTCCTATACCTCCTCCTCTTTCACCACCTTTGCCTCCTCCACTCTGGTGTCCTAGACCTCCTCCACTTCCACCTCCTCTACCTCCTTCACTCTGGTGTCCTATACCTCCTTCACTTCCACCTCCTCTACCTCCACCACTCTGGTGTCCTATACCTCCTCCTCTTCCACCTCCTCTACCTCCTACACTCTGGTGTCCTAGACCTCCTCCTCTTTCACCTCCTTTACTTCCTCCAATCTGGTGTCCTATACCTCCTCCTCTTTCACCTCCTTTGCCTCCTCCACTCTGGTGTCCTAGACCTCCTCCACTTCCACCTCCTCTACCTCCTTCACTCTGGTGTCCTATACCTCCTCCACTTCCTCCTCCTCTACCTCCTCCACTCTGGTGTCCTATACCTCCTCCTCTTTCACCTCCTCTACCTCTCCCACTCTGGTGTCCAATACCTCCTCCTCTTTCACCTCCTCTACCTCCTCAACTCTGGTGTCCTATATCTCCTCCTATTCCACCTCCTCTACCTCCTCCACTCTGGTGTCCTATACCTCCTTCTCTTCCACCTCCTCTACCTCCTCCACTCTGGTGTCCTATACCTCCTCCTCTTTCACCTCCTCTACCTCCTCCACTCTGGTGTCCTATACCTCCTTCTCTTCCACCTCCTCTACCTCCTCCACTCTGGTGTCCTATACCTCCTCCTCTTTCACCTCCTCTACCGCCTCCACTCTGGTGTCTTATACCTCCTCCTCTTTCACCTCCTCTACCTCCTCCACTCTGGTGTCCTATACCTCCTCCTCTTCCACCTCCTCTACCGCCTCCACTCTGGTGTCCTATACCTCTTCCTCTTTCACCTCCTCTACCTGCTCCACTGTGGTGTCCTATACCTCCTCCTCTTCCGCTTCCTCTACCTCCTCCTCTTCCACCTCCTCTACCGCCTCCACTCTGGTGTCCTATACCTCTTCCTCTTTCACCTCCTCTACCTCCTCCACTGTGGTGTCCTATACCTCCTCCTCTTCCGCTTCCTCTACCTCCTCCACTCTGGTGTCCTATACCTCCTCCTCTTTCACCTCCTCTACATTCCTCCGCTCTGGTGTCCTAGACCTCCTCCACTTCCACCTCCTCTACCTCCTTCACTCTGGTGTCCTATACCTCCCCCTCTTTCACCTCCTTTGCCTCCTCCACTCTGGTGTCCTAGACCTCCTCCACTTCCACCTCCTTTACCTCCTTCACTCTGGTGTCCTATACCTCCTCCTCTTTCACCTCCTCTACATTCCTCCGCTCTGGTGTCCTAGACCTCCTCCACTTCCACCTCCTCTACCTCCTTCACTCTGGTGTCCTATACCTCCTCCTCTTTCACCACCTTTGCCTCCTCCACTCTGGTGTCCTAGACCTCCTCCACTTCCACCTCCTCTACCTCCTTCACTCTGGTGTCCTATACCTCCTTCACTTCCACCTCCTCTACCTCCACCACTCTGGTGTCCTATACCTCCTCCTCTTCCACCTCCTCTACCTCCTACACTCTGGTGTCCTAGACCTCCTCCTCTTCCACCTCCTTTACTTCCTCCACTCTGGTGTCCTATACCTCCTCCTCTTTCACCTCCTTTGCCTCCTCCACTCTGGTGTCCTAGACCTCCTCCACTTCCACCTCCTCTACCTCCTTCACTCTGGTGCCCTATACCTCCTCCACTTCCTCCTCCTCTACCTCCTCCACTCTGGTGTCCTATACCTCCTCCTCTTTCACCTCCTTTGCCTCCTCCACTCTGGTGTCCTAGACCTCCTCCACTTCCACCTCCTCTACCTCCTTCACTCTGGTGTCCTATACCTCCTCCACTTCCTCCTCCTCTACCTCCTCCACTCTGGTGTCCTATACCTCCTCCACTTCCACCTCCTCTACCTCCTCCACTCTGGTGTTCTAGACCTCCTCCACTTCTTCCTTTGCATCTTTTTGGATCCATTGTTTCAAACCTGAATGCGCTGACATTGCCCCCTTTAAAAAATCTAAAAACGCTAAATTCATATTTTTCTTCTTCTTTTACTTTCATTAGGTAGGGTTAAAAAGCTAACCGCTAGCCTTTACGTTAGCTACCTTCACAGTAAACAGGTAGAGACCTCCTACTGTGGCCTTCCTAGCCGAACCACAGAGTCTCTGATTGGTGTGTGTTAAGTTGTGGCTCCTACTGCTTCCTGTTGGTTTATGTGAGCTCAAGCTGTGCTGACTTCAGTTACTGACTGCTAGTGCTTTCTGAAACACAGCTCACAATGTCTACGTTCCTCCTTTAACCAGACGTTAGAGAACAGCTGAAACGCCTCTGAAAGTCATGTGACTCGTACTGAATCTGATCTGGTCCTGCTGCAGCTCCGCCACTCTGCCTATCACCTTCAAGTGCCTCCTGGAGAACAACCACATCGACCGACGCATCATCCGCTTCGTCCTGCCGGTCGGCGCCACCATCAACATGGACGGCACCGCTCTGTACGAGGCCGTGGCCGCCATCTTCATCGCCCAAGTGAATAACTATGAGCTTGACTTTGGTCAGATCATAACCATCAGGTGAGTTTCAGGCTGACCTACTAAGTTATGGGGGAGTTTAAACTGGAGGCTGTTGGTTGACTCAGATGGAGGATTTCTGCTAATTTTAGCAAACCTGAGAGGGAAAAGCAAACCTTCCAACAGAATATTTTATGATTTTATTAGAATAAATTCAGGAAACAAAAGCACAAGTTCAAGATCATGTTCCAAAAATTTTTTTTTTCAGCTTTTAGAGAAGTTTCTTAACCACCACCACTTTGTCGCTGTTCCTAACGCCTAGTGACAAAGCTAGCTACATTTCTGAGGACCCTTAGCTACTTTCTGTAGAACTTTCTTCTAGATATTTCCTGCTAATTAGCAACAAAATAGCCATTTTCACTCCAAACCGTTCTTTGAACGTTGTTTCAGCTGTCATCAAGGATATAAATGTTACAGATACAAAAGGACATCACTGGTGCTTTAGCTCACCTAGTAAGATGTCGGACTCTCATGCAGAAGACCTGGGTTTGATTCTGAATGTGAACATAGTTCATTTAGAGTTTCATTTTTACATTAATGGTATATTTTTTACAGTAAGATGTCCAAATTTTTATTTGAGACTCGGTGAACGGCATTGAATTCACAGATAAAAAAGATGTGGGTTCAACTTTCATTTTGGAATGATTTTTCAAGCAAGGGAAGGGAATGATCTGAGCATGCAGGAGGACTGACCTATCATAAACCTTTGTCGGCTGTGCTGAAGAGAAAGCTACACAACCACATTATTTAATTAATTAGCTGCATGTTCTCCTGTCCTCTGTCCTCCGGGCCACGCACACACACACACACACACACACACACACACACACACACACACACACACACACACACACACACACACACACGGGACTGTCTCAGCTGTTATTTTCGTTAAGGAGTGCGCACGTACAGCATGCGCGCCTCGTGCACGAGCCTACTATTGAAGCTGCCGTTACGCTTTTGGCCTGAGGGGGCAATCGCGAGCATAAAAATTCAAAACTCCATAAAGTTCCTTTAATAATACACTAACTAACATGATAAAGGGACCTGTATTGTAAAGTATCATCTTTGTTCTTTATCTCCTATTAAATCCACCGTGTTGGCGCATTTTAATGACCTTCCTCTGCGCAGAATTTGTTACTGGATGCAAAATTTACATCAGTAAATGTTCGGCGGATGTGTGTTTGTTTACATTTTTGCTGCTGTGTGCCTGCACAGCGCAAAGGAAAAGAGGAGAGAGCCGCAACACCTCACGCCTCTGTGAGCGACAGGTGACAGCTCTGAAAGGTTTTACAGATCACATTGTTTTTCCACGGATATTTGCATCTACTTCTTCTATTCGGTGGACTAGAAATCTGAATTAAAAAATTTAAACTATTTCAGAGAAAACTGACTGACTTCTTTCGTAGCCTCCTTTAGCCTCCTAGAGCGAGTGGTAACTCTAGTTTTAGCTCTGTGCTTCACCTGCATATAGATACTCTTAATTTTACCTTCATTCAGGCCACGATGCCAACTAAAAAAGCTAAATTCATGTTTTTCTTGTACTTTTATTAACGTTCCGTGAAGTGAAAAAGCTAACCGCCACCATCACAGTAAGCAGGTAGAAACCTCCTACTGTAGCCTTCCTAGCCGAACCATAGAGCTGCTGATTCTGCTCAGCAGAGAGAGGGCTGTCCGTGTGAAGCTGCTCAAGTTTCTGACTCCAGAGTCTCTGAAACCAGCTTGAAAACAACGGTTTATAGCAGGGAGCCTGGAGGGCCGGTATCCAGCACGTTTTAGCTTCAACACACCTGATTTCAGTCAGCAGGTGATTAACAGGCTTCTGCAGAGCCTGATGAGCTGCTGCGCAGGGGATTCAACCACTGAATCAAGTGAGCTGGAGCAGAGAAACCACTAAAACATGCTGGATACCCCTGGCTTATAGTGTGTAAAACTCCTTAGTGTTGTTTAAAGCTCTGTTTCTGTAAAACTGAGAGGGTTTGTCAATTTCGTGTTTTCAAAAGTCGGTTTGCTCTGGCGGCCATCTTGAATCACATTCTGGTGGTTATTGGATGATTAGTGGGACTCCTGAAGGCTGAGGTGACACGTGTATCCTTCATGTGCATTTCTGCTAACGTGCCATGCTGTGCATGACATCACGTCTTCATGTTGGTTCCATCATGACCATAGAGCGCTCGCTCTGGAGTCTGATGGTTATCGTGTTAAGCAGCTGCATAAAAGGAAAATGCACCATCTAAAACATTTCACTGTTTTATTAATAATTATTACGGTCAGTAACTACTACATTAGTCGTTTTTAAACTGCAAAATAGCCCAAAATATGAAATCTACTTTGATCTGGGTCAAAGTGAGTGTGGCAGTATGCAGCAGCACCAGAGGTGTCCTGAGTGCAGCATGTGAATGAATCTAAATTTGCACATTAAATTCTGAGTTATTAATGCTATTATGGGATTTACTAGATTCTCATAAATGTAAATGTCACACAGATTATGCCTTGTATGAGCTTCTCAGTCTGATCTGATTCTGATCGTATCAGGCTGGACTCTGTGCAGACGTGAACAGCAGCTCCACCAGCTTGAACCCTAAGTTAGAACCAGCACCCCGGCTTGAGGAGAACCCCAACCTGCTCTGATCTGATCACATGTTGGACTGTAATATTAGTAACAGCGCGGCTCTCCTCACGGCCGCAGTGTGCTCAGTCCCCCATCATAATCCCTCAGCAGTAAAACCCATATGACCTGTATTACTCATCTCACATGTCACGGCAGAATTATAATCATTTTTCCTCTCTGTGCCCTGTTCCTGTGACATTTGAATTCTGACCATAAAGCTCCTCCATCTGTACACTAACCCAACCCTAACCCGGCCCCAGCCCGGCAACATAACGCTCACAGTTGGCAGTGAGAATCCAAACCGTGTCACACAAAAGCATCCTATGTTGCCTGATTCCCTTAGATGTGAACGTCTGAAACTGGTGAAAACTGTTACGAACAGTAAGAACACGTCATCACTTTGTGTAGCAGGAGGTAGATTTGTGAAGTAAAAAGTCCCAGCACAGCATAGCCAGCTAAAGCCTTAAAGGTGCAATAAGTAAACATTTTACGCTGAAAAAAAATCACAAAACAAATTAATGTCTCAGTTATGTTGGATGGAAAGTGACATGGAAACAGATTTTCATAGCTGGCTGGGGGGTTGTCAGTTTTAAAAAGGCTGAAGGGGCACTAGGGATGGGTACCTTTAACATTTGAATCGATTTGGTACTAATTCCCGGTACCTAGGAATCGATACTTAACGGTACCAATTTTAGATACTTTTGAGTGTTTAATATTTTAATTCTCTTTTATAATTAAATATATGTTTTTCTCAATATATAACCATATTTGATAAATATCACACAACTGTTTGTATTTTAACGTCGTCCTTGTAGTTTTATAAGCTGATAATTAAACTGAAGCAAACATCTTTACTGTGAACTAAATTTACTGTGTATCGTCATTCATTTTGCCGTCCTTTTTCATTTGATTTTTCCTACTGGGAAGTTAGAATTTCCGAGGAGAAAGCGAACGCACCATTAGCTGATAACAACGGTGGCAATGGAAGCGAACATATCAAGCTAACGTTATCTTAAACAGTTTATTTAGCTGCTGGAGCAGATTAAAACGATGATGCCTCACACTTAGATCGTTGTCGCTGGTTTCATCTTCACCCAGTCACCCGTCGCATTTAGTAAAGTGAAGCCAAACTTTAGAGCGCGTTCATGTTCTTCTAGTCGGAAATTCGGAGTTCCGAGGAGAAAGCGAACGCACCATTAGCGAAATGGAAGCTAACAAATCAAGCTAACATTATCTTAAACATTTTATTTACCTACCGGAGTAGATTAAGATGAGGATGTCTCACTTAGATCGTTGTCGCTGGTTTCATCATCACCCAGTTACCCATCACATTTAGTGAAGTGGACCCAAGCTTTAGCGTGCGTTCTTTCTACCATGCTGCTCTGTTTACAACTCGCTCACAGCGACCGACGACGTAACGCTCTTGCGCATGTGCAGCTGTCTAGGCAAGTTCTCGTTATGAAGGACGGGTACCGAAACGAGGCACCGTTTCAAATGATGTGAATTGGTGCTCAGTCGGTACTATGGAATTCGGTCGGTACCTTAAAAAGTACCGAATTTGGTACCCATTGCTAAGGGGCACGTAGTCTTTGTTTACAATCTGTCACACGTCCCTACAGAAGTTGGTTCTAGAGCCAATTGCATGTGAGCCCATAGGGTTGCCAAGTCTGCACTGGAATTTGTAATACAGACCAGCTGACAAAAAGCATCAGTGTTGTGGAAATAATGTGAGCCAGTACACAGGTTTTCCTTGTACCCATCAGAAGCCACGAAATATCACGTAAAGCGGGCTAGAGGCTAATGTTGAGCTAAAAATGCTGACAGTGAATTGGAAACAATACTCAGCTCTAAAAGTTTTTCAAGCTACTTTTTCAATTACCAACAGCTCGGTGTTACAGTGAGTTGTGTGGCATCTCGACTCATCATCTGGGACCTTCTGGTGCTGATCATAGCTGTCAACAGTTGGTCAGGGAAACTCGTTTGCTTTAATGAATGGACTGCAGCGTCCAAATTTGACCACAGGTTGTGGTCTTTCTTCATGCACCTTTAATCTGACAAACAAACATTAATAAATAAGAAATTGTAGCCATTTTAGTCACATCTAAACATAATACTGTGATTACTTCTGCAATATGGTCAGGAATCTATATTCTCATATGCATAAAATATAGAGCTAGAATAGAAAATGAGATCAAATGAGTTACACCACAAAAGTACTGAGTTTCACCTTCTTCAATAAAACTCAGAAGTTCTGCTTTACCCAGACAAATAAAATCTTTATTTGTGAAGCTGCAGGTCTTTTTGTTTCACCCTTTTTTCTGTGTGTTTGAGCCATAAATGGAACTTCTATGAGGAGGCGTTGACTTGATTCCCAACATGCTCTCTGGTGTTGCTCATCTTGGCTGAAATCAATCATTCACGTTACAAGATATTTTCTTCAAATTTGATGCCTAACAACCAGGGATGGGTTTAAATATTTTACACTAAATGAGAATATAAGACCCGAAGGAGCAAAATCCTTCAAAAAGACCTGATTTATTTATTTATAAGATAACCCAGAAATGGTTCCAAACTGCTACGAAACAATGAATAATGTTTAGGTAGAAGCAGAATAAAGACCAAGGAAAATCCACTAAATCAATAATTAGGAAGTTGTCTTCATTAAAATAATACAGAACATGGAGGAAATAAGGAGAAGAAGAGAATATAATTTCTACAGCGCCTCTCAAGATAAAAATCACGAGGCGCTTCACAAAAGCAAAAAATGTAAAAATATCAAAAAGAATTTTGAAAATGTTTAAAAATATATTAAAATGAGCAAAAATAGGCAATTGTGATTTAAAAAGTGTTAAGAAAGAGAGAGAGTGAATAGGAACGAGGGAAATCAGTGGATCCTGAGGAAGGTGGAATAGGTGGGGAGAGCAGAATAAAGAGAGAGAGGTGAAGAAGGTCATACAAAAGCCAGCTTGAACAAGTGAGTCTTCAGCTGCTTTTTAAAGGAGACCACTGAGTCCACTGATGTCAGGCTCAGGGGGAGAGAGGTCCAGAGTCTGGGGGCCACAGCAGCAAGTAGTCCAATGAGGCTGAAATGAAACTTTTAACAATAAAAAAGTCTCTTTGAGGAAAAAAAAACATCCTGTGACGAAGCATGGGGGTGGCAGCATCATGCTGTTGGTCACGGAAAATTGAAAGAATTATAAATGTTGGTGGGCAAATTGTCACTGAAGAGGATTAGAGCCACTGAAAAGTAAAAAGAAAAGAAGAAGAATTCTGAGTTTTTTCTCAGAAGTCAAAAAGTCTGAATTCTTTTTCCCTTTTCTTCTTTTCAGCTGATCCGCTCAACTCCAAAAGTCCGAGCTTTTATTTTACCAGGTCCTTTAGCAGGAGGATCCTAACCAGCTACAGACACAGCTACACATCAAAGAAGTGAAGTCAGATTTCCAAAAGCTTTCTAACCAGAAGTCCCCAAACCCCTCTAAAGGTGTCCGAAGGGACCGGCGTCCATAGGTCTGCAGCTAGACTCGGGCAAGTGGAGCTAAATATTGAAAAGGCCTCTTCTGTCCGGTGTGGACTCTCAGGACGAGAGAGGAAATCCTACAGATTTACAAGAGATGAAACGTAGCAGGCTGCTTTGTGAGTTAGGATGGGAGGCCAGCCCAACTCGTCAGAAGGCTGGTAAACAAGATTTGATCTACGGAGAGGAAGCAAACCTGCGCACCACATCCCGTAAAAGCTGAAAAACACATTCAAAGTGATCTAGAAACATGAACCTTTATGAAGATACTGAAGTGGGCTGATCTTGTGTTTCTGTCCCATTTAAGTTGTGGATCCGTTTTAGTGCTCAGACTGTTTCTGAACCTGGTGCATCATCTGAAGCTGCAGCAGAATAAAACATCGGTGACACTCAGACTCCTGTAACAGTTTATCCGTCTGCTCTCCTAGCATCACAGCCACAGCCGCCAGCATCGGAGCCGCAGGGATCCCACAGGCTGGACTGGTTACCATGGTGATCGTGTTGACCTCCGTGGGTCTGCCCACCGATGACATCACGCTCATCATTGCAGTCGATTGGGCTTTGTGAGTAGAAACGAGTTTGTTGACAGTAATCAGAACTTTATCATTTGTTACATTTCTGAACTTGAAGGTTGTTTTGGTTCTACTTTTCAAAGCTGTCAGAGAGAATTTGATTTATTTTTTCACTAACAGAGTGACTTGAAGGCCTCCGGCTTGTGTTTTCTGTCCAGAGATCGATTCAGGACCATGGTGAACGTGATGGGGGACGCTCTGGCCACCGGCATCATGGCTCATATCTGCAGAAAAGATTTTGTCAAGGAAGGAGAGCAGGTGAGAGCAAACATGACCAGATCAATAGATGCTGGTGCTTCAAACGTCTAGTCTGTGAAAACTGCTTCTGAGAAATGTGCGCTTGTCCTGCAGGAGGTCATCTCAGTAGGACACGTGAGACTAGAAGGCAGATTGTAGCTTTAAGCTGAGGGTGTTGGTAGGAGGAGAGGGAGCAGCAGGAGGCCACGGGATCTAACTCCTTAATTACTGCTCGGCCTGCTGTCGACGTCTCTGAGCAGTCGTCACGAATCAGCTGAGAGATGAGTCTCGGCTTCACGTCAGCAGGAGCAGACACGAAAGAATCAGACAGACGAGAGAACTTTGTCTTTGATGTTTCACGTCTCACTACGGAGGCTGAGAAGGACACACTTCAAAGTGATGTAAACAAACCAATTTATGTTTTAGGAAACGTGTTTACAAAGTTTGTAAAATGAATGCCAAGACAAATATTCAGTTAAGTGTCAAACAAAAACAGAAATCCTGAAGCAAACTAACAAAAGGCAGCTCTGAGGGGAGAGGGAATGCCCTAAATGCTGGAATTCACAGATCACTGGGTTCTGGTGGTTCCGTTCAGCCAGACCCGTCCAGAGATCATCCACACGGAGCACAAAAGACTACTTCAGCAAAAAAAAAACATTGTTCATGAACCAACTTTATCCCTTTGATGCATGAATTATGAAATCTTCAACCATGATTGTTTTTAACAATTTTTTTCATTCATCTTTAGGTGTGAATGAAAAAAATTTCAAGAAATATTTTTGTAACATTTAATAATTTACAAATAATTTATTACATGTCCACCTCAGTGGACAGTAGGGATGGGTACCTTTGACATTTGAATCGATACCGGTACTTAACGGTACCAATTTTCGATACTTTTGAGTGTTTAATATTTTAATTCTCTTTTATAATTAAATATATTTTTTTCTCAATATATAACCATATTTGATAAATATCACGATAAATAACATTCAACTGTTTGTATTTTAACATCGTCCTTGTAGTTTTATAAGCTGATAATTAAACTGAGGCAAACATCTTTACTGTGAACTAAATTTACTGTGTATCTTCATTCCTTTTGCCGTCTTTTTTCATTTGATTTTTCCTACTGGGAAGTTAGAATTTCCGAGGAGAAAGCGAACGCACCATTAGCTGATAACAACGGTGGCAATGGAAGCTAACATATCAAGCTAACGTTATCTTTAACAGTTCATTTAGCTGCTGGAGCAGATTAAAACGATGATGCCTCACACTTAGATCGTTGTCGCTGGTTTCATCTTCACCCAATCATCCGTCGCATTTAGTAAAGTGAAGCCAAACTTTAATGCGCGTTCATGCTCTTCTAGTCGGAAACTCGGAGTTCCGAGGAGAAAGCGAACGCACCATTAGCGGAACGGAAACTAACAAATCAAGCTAACGTTATCTTAAACATTTTATTTACCTACCGGAGCAGATTAAGATGAGGATGTCTCACTTAGATCGTTGTCGCTGGTTTCATCATCACCCAGTTACCCATCACATTTAGTGAAGTGGACCCAAGCTTTAGCGTGCGTTCTTTCTACCATGCTGCTCTGTTTACAACTCGCTCGCAGCGACCGACGACGTAACGCTCTTGCGCATGCGCAATTGTCTAGGCAAGTTCTCGTTATGAAGGACGGGTACCGAAACGAGGCACCGTTTCAAATGACGTGAATCGGTGCTCAGTCGGTACTATGGAATTCGGTCGGTACCTTAAAAAGTACCGAATTCGGTACCCATCGCTAGTGGACAACGTGCATTCTGAACATGAAATATGTTGGCTTGACTTGCTGAAGCCCAAATGGAGGGGCTCAAATGCAATAAAGTCTTCAGCAGCTGTGCTTAATAGCAAAAATAACTATTTTGAGTACCTGTTCACTGTAGTGACCATCATGCATCAAAGGGTTAACAAAGTCTTTATTGATTGTATTTTGTGAAGTTATTTTCTTCAAAGAGAAATACTCTTTACAGATGCAGGACATCTAACCCTAACCAACCAAAAGGACATTTAATACTAACTGTAAGGCTCGGGTCGTCTCGTCGTTGTGTCCATGCATGGAAGCATCTTTATTAGGTGCCTCCCACAAAACACATAGGACTCGATGCATGACAGGGCGATGCACCTTTGTCCGATACTTATTAAACCTAACCTGAAAGGCTAGCTGTTCCAGCTACAGCTGCACAGGTTGTCACGTTTGCTGTTGTTTTTTCTAAAGCTGCAGGAGCAGCAGTGACAAAAGAGGGATGGATCATGAGGAAATATGCAGAGAACAGTAATAACTAAAGTTACTGAAGAAAGCTTGCATGGGTATTCAGCTGCAGCATCATTTCTAACCAGACAGCAGAAGCCTGGCGAGCCTTAGCCAATCAGAGCTCAGATTTTCCTGCCCTTTGGCGTGGCTAAGGGGGTTGAGGCAGCAGCGTGAATGAGACACTGTGTGCAAAACCACCCTGAGGGTTTCTCGTGCACCACTTGTTTGTCAGAGAAATGACCATTTTACAGTTTTTCACGTTTTCTGAAAGCATGTCCCATAATGTCAGAACCTACACATTCTCAGACCCGAAGCGGCTGAAACTGACGAAGGGAGACCAAGCATGTATTTCCAGAGCATCGCTTTCTGACGCCTGCGGTAAAACGGACATTTCACCAACATTTGACCTCTAACCTGTAGCTATATAACCTTCCCCTCGCTCCCATCCTAACCTTAACCCAGTTTCTCTTGCTAAAGTTCCCGTTAACTGTGTTCGTGAGGAACAATACAACAAGAAACTACGTTTTGCACGCCAAGTGGGTTAAGGTTAGGATGTGGGTGTGGGGAAGGTTAAATAGCAAGAGGGTAAAGGTCACAATTCACTCAAACCTCCGTCTTACCGCGGGCGCCGGAAAGCGACGCTCCTGAAACAAATGCTTGGTCACCCTTCCTCAGTTTCAGCTGCTTCGGGTGTGAGAATGTGTCGGTCAGAACTATACACACAAATCTAAACACACACACACACACACACACACAAACATTGTGAAATCTTTCATGTACTTATGTAGGCCGAGGTGCTGCTGTATACCGTTTGTGTACCAGTGAACACGATAGTCCATGATGATGACTGAAGAAGAAGTGGTCATAATGTTTTACATTAAACACATCAGTGTTCAACTGGTTCGCATAAATGTTCACTCAGCTGATGGTTTGGGAGTTCATTTGGAAACAAAACACCATTTTGAGAAGACAGTAAAGTTTTTTGAAAACTTATGAAGAGTCACAGAACGTTGCGCGCTAGGATGATGTCGACGCCAAAGCAACCAAAACAAAGCAGAGACTCACATCTTACATCCTCGTGTTTCGAGTGTTATCCGTTCTTTCATAATCTGTTGTCGAATTGTGATCGGCAAACGCTTTTCCGGTTCGCGCTTCACTTTTTTTTTACAGGAACGGCCCAAAATGATCTCCTAACACTTGGATGTTCTGCTTCCTGATCATGTGACGTGTGACGTATGCGGATGAAGATCGGCTTTAGAGATGAGATGTTTGTTCTCTCAGCACGGGGGCTCGTTCCGATGCCCAAACGCTAAAAAAATGCGAATGACGACTTTAGTCGTCATTGGCGGTGAATGAATTAAAAGGGAGTTTTCCTCTCCACTGTCGCTGCATGCTTGCTTAGTATGAGGATTGCTGTAAAGACTCTGACACTAGTCAGTGACTTGATGCAACCTGCTGGGTTCCTTACATAGGAAACTTTTTACTGATTGGCTAGAAGCCGGGTGGACACTGTGCGACTTTTTCACTCGTAGC